CCATGTCTGACGTGACTAGGAAACTTTTGGCGATCCACGTCGCTCCTACGTCCAGAGCCAGGCAGCCCAGGTTAGCAAGAGCCAGGGCCTGGTTCCTCTGGTTCCCACTCTCCCTGGAGATCACCAGGGCTGAGTGGAGATGCCAGCCGGCTTCTGGGACGCGACACTGTCGCCTCAGACACAGAGCCAGAAGGTTGTGAATGACTCCTCGCTGTGTGGGACTGTCTGTCCCCTGAACACAGACAGTACAGTAAGACATCACACCTGACTCTAAGAAAGGACCAAGTCTACCAAGTTTCTTCAGAGGGTTCTGGTACCTGAAGTGACGTGAGCAGCGGCAGCAGGATGTCCTGGGCCCTCTCCACCTGGTCCGTCAGCATCAGCAACCATCCGAGCAGCACAGAGGCCTCGAAGCTCTCCTCCTCGTTGATGTGGCTGCCCATCTCCACGGCCTGCTGGACACACAGCACCGCTTTGTCCAAGGTGTTGTACTGCTGGTAGACCGAAGCCAAGCCCAAACACAGGTCTCTCTGGGTCTTCATGTCCACTCCCTGCTCAGCTATAGCCAGAGCCTGCTGAAGGTAGACCACGATCTGTGCCGGGACCAGGGACGTCCCTTCCTTCCAGTGTGGATTCAGGCGGACAGAGTTCTTGATGAACAACTCAATCTTTCCAAAGGCGTTCTGAAGGGAATGATCTTGTCTGGAGTCCAAACTCAGAGAAGCTAGTGCTAAGTAAGGCATGTATTTATGATGGTAGAGGCAGCTCAGGAGCCAGTTGAGGTCCACGGGAGCTATGGGTCGCTCCTCAGCAGCCGACACAGTCACTGAGAGAAACTGCAGTCTTTCAACAAAAGGAAGAGCATCGTCTGTCTTTTTTAGAAGCAGGAAGAGACTGGAGATGAGGTAGCAGACGCGAGCTTCCAGAACTTTGTCCCCCATGACCACCGACCTCCTCAGCAGCAGCTTCAGAAGTTCAACCTCGTCTATGGAGGTGAAGCTGTGGCTGGGGAGGCAGAGGAGCAGAGCACTGGCCTTCTCCAGGGTGTGGCTCAGTTTGTCTGCCATGCGCTGCTTCAGGTACAGAGCAGTGAGGTGGGTGTAGAGGGCGACGAGGAGCGGAGTGTCGGAGAAACTGCTCACGCCAACACTCAGAGCCTCCTCGAAGTACACGCGTGCCTGGGATGAGATTAATGACTGATCAGAATGTGGATCAAGACATTGAACCAGAACCAGAACCAGAACCTCAGAGTCTTCACCTGCGACAGCTTCAGCTTCTTGGCGCACAGTCTCCCCAGCAGGAAGCAGGACCGCCGGTGGGCCCAGTGCATGCCCATCCTCTTGGCCCACTCCCTGACGTTTTCAAGGTGACCTGAGAGTTCCTCCTCCGTCTTCCCACTAAACGTCGTCCACAGGAAGGAGAAGTGAAGGTCATACAGAGGAAGGAAGTCCTCCTGGAAAAAAGGTAAAAGAGTGAAGTTCTGTTCTTCAAACTTCATGGTTGATGACACTCTTCTTCCTCATTTATTTTCCCTCTGCCCCGTCTTAGCCCCCCAGCCCCCATCCCTGCTCCCACCCACTTTTTAGAGACCCATTTTCCAAAGTGAACGTAGAGAAGCAGAAGTTAAACAGTGACAGGTCTGCTGACCTGGAATTGTTCATGGTTGAGCAGGGTCAGTGTCAGGTCACTCAGCTCTGAGTCCCCCCCCTCCCAACTGTTCTCTTCTAGGAAGAGTGCCGGTTCTGTCTGGAACTCGTCCAGCTCTCTGAAGGTATCGTCAATAGTGAAGGAGAGATGTTCACTGTCCTGAGGGAGAGGGTTTTTGGACTGGGACAGGGACAGACGAGAGGAGAAGGGAGAGAGGGAGTGGCGAGGGGAGGAGTTGTCCGGGGGTGTCCCCGCACTGCGCTCGGATGTGACACTTTGATGGGTGCTGGAAGAAATCTTGTGCTCTAGGAAAAAATAATGAAAAAGATTATTATTATAAAATGAACTTGAGACTGATTTTTATTTTTAAGAAAACAGGACGGTGGTTATCAGCTGTTTGGTATTTATAGTCCTGAAGTCTCACCGTGTCTGGGCTGGTTCCTGATGTACATGAAGTCAGTCTCATCCAGTCTGTCTGGAAACACACAAGGTGAAAGAACAAGTAGAGTTTCAGTCTGGAACTGAAGGACAGCAGCATCGCTCTAAACTAAAGCCCGGATCATGATGGAAGTCTCCAGGGACGGAGTTAATGGACCAGGAGTGAGAAGACGTGGATCCTGGATCCAGGCAGCTGGAGCTCAGTGATCACTTCACTCCAGCCTCTTATTGTTGAGTTTGTGATCAGAGGGTTTTACCGAGTCTGTACACGGAGCTGATGTCGGTGGAGAAGAGTCTCTCCAGCAGAACTCTGTCCCCCGACTCCACACTGCAGGGGTTGACCCGGGTCAGACTGGACCGCTCCTCCTCAGTCAGAAAGACCAACTGTCCGTCTCTGTGCAGAGGAAGCAGACGTTAATGACTGAATCTGATCAGGACTGGACTGACACACATGACATCATCAGACGGGGACACTCCTTACAGTGGCTTAGTGTCCAGAGGTTTGACATTGGCCTTGTGTATGAACCCAGTTTGTCCAGTGGAGGTGTTGGTTCCAACGAAGACATCCAGAGCTTGGAGGAGTAAACCCTGGATCTGCACCACGTCACCTTGACTCAGCTGGAGCTCGTCTGGACCCACAGGCTGGAGGTCGACCGTCGCCAAACAGGACCCTGTGACTGAGACACCGTGGAGGAGGGACGGGGGACAACGTACTTAAAACTTGCTTTAAAGTCATTTATCACGTGGCACCTAAATTCACTCAGTGAACATATCGACATGTGATCGAGCCTGTGGTACTGCATGTACCTGTACAGTTCAGTACAAACACGTGTGTGTGTGTGTGTGTGTGTATTACCTATTGCATCTTCAAATGGTCCCTTTTCAACTGCTGAACATCCAGCAGAGCTGGGGAACTTCCTCAGGAACCACCTGACCAGACAGAAAACCTTCTCAAAAGCAGCCTCTCTGATCGATGAAGTACGACTTCTTAGTTTAATTGACGGCTCGTGGCGTGTGTGTGTTTACGGTGACTCACTGATAGAAGGGATAGGGCAGTGGCTGCAGGGCACTGATCGGTACCAGGCCGTGGTGCCCTGTGGACAGATTGGTCCCCTCCCTCAGCTTGTCCTGTCCTGTGTCCCTCACCATCAGAAGGTCGTTCTTTTTGAACGGCAGCTGTTCTTCATCATCTTCATCCTCCTCACCTCTTGTATACAGGGTTTTTGCAAAGAAGGATCCTGAAAAAAAAGAAATAGTACAGTGGATCCTGGAGATACCAGTTTAATCGGTTCCACAACAGTCACTCGTCTGTCGATCGAATTTTCCCATAAACATGGAATCCTCGTATTTGGGGAAGTTCGTATCCATGTTGTCCACTGTATGTGTGCTGTTTATTGTAAAGATAATTAAGTCACCGGTCCTGAGTTCTTATTGTAAAGATAATTAAGTCACCGGTTTAAGATCAGCAGGAGTGACTCAGCCAACTCCTCCTCATCCTCGTCCTGTCTGGAGGAGGTGAAGGATGTTGTAAAACTAATGTAATTCCCAGCTCTTTCTGCCAACACTGCAGTCTCATTCCTGCACGTTTCTACATGAGGATTTCTGCAGAGTAAGAGTGAAGTAGGAACTTTAGTTTATATTAAACTATAATCTTTTACCAGCAGTCTGTGTTGATTAGCACCCCCTGTTGGAAAGGGATGGTGAGTGACAGGCTTTGTGTTTTTCAGTCACAGATGTTTATCGGTTCTCAGGCAGGTACTGACCTTCTTGAAGCAACAGTCCCAGGTACAGCGTTGCCAACTGTTCCTCATCCACAGTGACGTTGATCTCCAGGTCACTCAGCAGATCTGGGTCCAGCCAGAAGGACTGATCACACAGAAAGTTCTCCAAACATCGGGCCACATAACCTGAAACAGAACAAACAGCTCCCGTCATACAACGACACCAAGTTACCAACAACAATATGACAAGCAGTTTAATTTAACAAACATGGACTCTGACCCAGTGCTAGGTAGGTTGAGAACTTCCAGACTTCCTCCACCGTCTTAAACGTCAGGACAAAACTGTCCTTCTCAGCGTGGACAGAGACCAGCCGCGCAGACAAGTCCTGCAGGGACACAAACTCATGTAAACTTCAGTGAAGACCTGAAGCTGATCTTAACTCATTCTGTACAGCAGAGGTCCCTGACCCCTATGTTGCATCCACAGACTCACCAGCTGTTTATAGTAGTTTAACCTGTTTTACAGCTCGTCGCTCAGTTTAGCCTTAAACAATTGATCGTTTGAAACTCCAGCCCATCGCTGAGCTGGCAGAGTAGTAGAGCAAACTACTATTGATTCCCAACCTGTGTCGTGACTTTGACTAACTGAGTAACTCGAAGATCATTACATTTATTTTTTGTACATTTTTCTTTGGTGGTGCGCAGTGAGACTGTTGTTCAGTAGAATCGGTACCGTGGCTCAGAGGTTTAGGAAACAGTGATATGAACACCGACATCAGTGACTTTGTCTCGTACTTTGAAGAGCTGGATCACGTCCTGGCTGTTGCTCTCAACCACCCGCAGTCGTGTCCGCAGCGCCTCCTGTAGGCTCCTGTCAGGATCCACACTCGAGCGTCGCCGGCCAGTGAACAACAGAACGATTTCTTTAAAAAAAAAAAATCCTCCGGTTATTCTCATTAATATGTGGGTTGTACGCCCCCCACAGGCCACAGGCGCTCTGTCAACGTTGACCTTTTTTTTAGGAATATTTCAATGGTTAAATTGTTTCTGGTTTTCTGAGCAGCTCTTTGAGTCCCTGAAGGAACTGTCCAGCTACCAGGCTTCTCTCTGGACTCTAAGTGTGGCCAATTAAATCCATTTGAGAAGACAAAGTTATGGGTTATGATGGATGGAGTCTGCTGACGGAGTAAACTGCTGACTGAGTAAAACATTAGCAGACAGGGGAGTGTGCTCCATCATTAGGGAGAAGGAAGCAAAAAAAAACCATAATGCTCTTAGGAATAGGTCTGCACTAATAGTACTGTAGTACTGACTGCTGTGTACTCCTCATGTTGGGTAATGGACCGGTGGAAGGCCTTGATCAGTTACTGTACCTGAAGAAAATCTGTCTCCCAGGGACACAGTGCTTCCTCTGAAGAAGGCCTCCTCCTTCTTCCAGTACCCATCAGCCTCGTCCACTCTCTCACCGGGGTCGGCCAGATGTCCGTCCTCCTCCTCACCCCCATCTGGAGAGACCCAACAGATCAACATCAAGAGTCAAACAACAGTGTACAATTAGTACCAGCACTGAGTTGACCAGTACGACGATCGGGATCTACCAGTAGATCGTAAAGGGAGTGTGTCGTGTTGACGTTGCGCTCATTCAGTATGAATGGTTTTATTTTGAGAGTCAGTCTTCACCAAAGCTAGGCTAAGACTAAAACACTCAGCCGCACTTCTTCTTTGGACTTTACTGGCAGATATAAGCTTGCTAGTTGCATTGCTGCCACCTACTGGGCATTGTTCTGTAATTTTCTGCGAGTCTCAACATGGCTGAGGTGATAATGAGGTTTAACTCGTTATATTTGTTCTGTGAAGTTGTCCTTCTGCCACCGTGGAAAATACTGGTGAGATGGATGTGGTTCAAACTGTGGAGCGGTGACCAGCTTCCCCTGGTCTGTTCCATTGTGCAGGGAGGATGTCCCCAACACTTCCTGAGACCTCCACTCCTTCCTGACCTCCACAGTCCAGTCAGTTTTCATACAGACCAACAAACTGAAATCACACACTTACCCTGAGTCATGATGTCATTCCCGGAGAAGTGATCATCTGATCTCCCAAAAGAATATGGTGGTTCCCTCCACAGAGCATCCAGCTCAGCAGGAGAGATGTCTGTGTCAGGAGAGACGTCATATTAATGAAGTTTGAAAGTTGACTTCGAGAGATACTTCACTGGTAAACAACAGCCCATCTACTACTGTACTACTACTGTACTACATCTGTACTACACCTGTACTACATCTGTACTATGTCAGCTTGGCTTCAGCCTTTTTGGATCTTTGTTATTCAGAAAAGTTGTGATGGTTCTTTAGCACAAAAATCTGTCTGAAGAAAAACACGGTCACGTGAACTGATTACTGACCCTACTGGTACTGGTACTGGTACTGGTACTGGTACTGGTACTGTTTACCATATAAGCTGTGGTTTTGTGTGTTTAGCCTCCAGTCTGTGATTTCTCATCAGCCCCCCCCCCTCCCCCCCATCTGTAAAATCTGTAATGTTGACAAACCCTCTGACCAACCTTGTTCACTTTTTAGAAACACGGTCGTCCAACTAGAGTCAATGTCACTGGAGCAAAATAGCAGCAGTAGCAGTACTGTTACTGGAAGTGTGTGTGTGTGTGTGTGTGAGGAGGATCAGTGGGAGTAGTTATCACGTCAAACACAGGACCACAGCTGCACTGACATCCAGGTTTAAACAGCGTTCCGTCAGCGTGGAGAACACGGTCACATGGTTTCACACAAGCACAAAACTCTGGTCAAAGAAAAGTTACGTGGACAAATCACACGGCACTGGACGTCCATGGTCAACATGCTTTGTCAGTGGGAACCACAACGACGACAACAACAACAACAGTGTCATCTTGATGCACACCACAATAGACACAGGACAATGGGACACACACTCAGCCTCACAGTACAACGTGACAGTGGAGCGGGGAGGACAACAGTCCATTCTTTGACAGGCGTCCACACAGAGCAGCGTCAGGACGACTGGACGTCATGCTGTGACAGTCAAACACACCGTGCCCTGTTACCTTCATGGCTAAATGTGGTGCCCATGATGTACAGAGTGAGACATTAGTCTGAGCTCCGTCTGATGACGGGGCTGGAGCAGAGCACAGAGGAGGAGACGGGGGACCGACCTGTGAGGGAGGAGAGGCAGGTTTTGATGTCAGGTCCACAGCAGGAGAACTTCAGCAGCGGTCTGCAGCAACAAGACGCCATCTGGCACAAACGCCGGCAGCTCCCAGAGATCAACGCCATCCCCATCGCCCCCCGCCCCCCGGCTTCTTTAACAACAGTTCACTCTCTTCCTCTCTGCCGGACAAGCCCCGCTCCCCTTCCTATTCCTGTTTTCCCCTTTCCTGTCCGGCTGGCTCTGCTCTCCGCTCAGACTTCACTTCTCATCCTCTCTCCTTCTCATCCTCTCTCCTTCTCTGGCCGCTCGGCCCTGCTTCGATTTTCTTTGGAATCTTTCTGTCTCCGACTGTCTGCGTCTCCCTCCTCCTCCTCCTCCCACCACCAGCTTCTCTCTCTTCAGTAGCTGCCCAGTTAGTGAGTGAATGCACAAAGCACTCTATTAGAGAATGGAATGAGTGTGTGTGTGTGTGTGTGTGTGTGGGGGGGGGGGGGGAAGTTTCCCTGTGTTGTGTGTCTGTGCCTAGGTCAGTGAAAATATGCACAGAATGCCTGTCAGCAGGACAATGAGTGAGTCTTCTACTGGACCACTGTGGTGCTGATCCACTGTAAGACAACGCCACGCAGGGTCAGGCTTAGAGGTCACATGGGAGGGGGGAGCAGGAGGGGGGGTCAAGTTTATCAACATCACACTATTTGACACAACACTACAGGATCATAATGGAGTCACATGACTTCGTCGGACTGACTGGACAGTACTATTGGACTAACGACACACGACCCTGGAAAGGATAAGGTTTTTTGTTCATGAATTGACAAATGATGTGATTAAAATTAAATTTGAATTTAATTTAAATGAAATACTTCAGTGTCGTGATCCGAACAGTTCTTTGTTGTTGTTGTTTTTAGAGTATTTGTGAATATTTGAATATCTCTGGACTTTGTTGTCCTACTTAGTCAAACTCCTGTTTGTCAGGTCTCTGTCCAGTAAACAAAAAAGCCTTGTTTGTCCAGTTGCAGCATTTGTCAACAACAGCAGGATGGCAACGGCCTGCATGCCCCGCCCTCCCCACTCCCCTCCTGGCTTTGATTGGCTGGTACTCACTGTGTTTATTGGTGAAGTTGTTCAGTTATTCACTATCTACCTCTTAATCCCCTAATCCCAAATCTGCATGTTTTGGGGCAAATCCACGCACTCACAGGGGTAAACACATGGTAAACTCCACAGAGAAAGATCGGGGATCGAACAGTGAACCAGTGATCTTCTGGATGTAAAGTCATCTGAAGCCTCTGTGTCTCCATCCTGTTCTTTGTCTGGTAAGAGGCCGTGGCTGATCGTAGCGTTGACGGAGCGTTGACTCTGACGCTGCTCCTCTGCTGGTCTGCACACTGAGAACCTGGTTCTGGTTAATCTGATAAACACAGATTAACCAGAACAAGGTTGATGTTCACAGTCATGTGCTCTCTTGTTAGCAGAACAGTCGTCTACGGTGTCAACACCTCATCGTACACTGAGGCTGCAGACAGAGTCATGTGATCCACAGAGGTTCAGCCCTGTGACGACATGTGATCTGAAGATGAGGTGGTCTCACGAGGAGACTGACGTCATGGTCACCATGTAGACTGACGTCGCAATGGTCAGGTTGTAGACTGACGTTGTCATGGTCACCATGTAGACTGACGTCGCAATGGTCAGGTTGGAGACTGACGTTGTCATGGTCACCATGTAGACTGACGTCGCAATGGTCAGGTTGGAGACTGACGTTGTCATGGTCACCATGTAGACTGACGTCGCAATGGTCAGGTTGTAGACTGACGTTGTCATGGTCACCATGTAGACTGACGTCGCAATGGTCAGGTTGTAGACTGACGTTGTCATGGTCACCATGTAGACTGACGTCGCAATGGTCAGGTTGTAGACTGACGTTGTCATGGTCACCATGTAGACTGACATCGTCACAGTCATGTAGACTGACGTCGTCATGGTCAGGCCGTAGACGTTGTACACAGCATCAAACCCTGTTACGACTGTCCTGTAAACTTACTTCACACCAGGTTTATACAGCTAGCTCTCTGCTAGCTCTGTGCTAGCTCTGTGCTAGCCACAACATTACAGTACAGTATTAACCTGTAAAAATGTTTTACTGAAGAAGAAGAGTTGTTGTTTTGTGGATGAAACCACAGCAACAGTGTGTGCTGGGCTGGTGACACTCAGCCGTGCATGACAATATCACTGGGCCCTAATCACAGACACATGATGTCTGCATGTCGGAGCAGGGAGTGTTTGTGGTCGTGCCACTGTGTGTGGACGGCACTGGAAGTGAACGATGTGCCACAGAGTAACATGAGAGCCACGGCTTGAGACTCTAAGTTTAGACCTGGCTCACTCACATGCCTGTGTCTAGGAGAGCGATCCCTGCAGGGAGATTCTCACACTGTTGCAAAACAACAACATTTGAACAAAAATGTGGGAAAAAAAACAAATGGAGAATTCACACACACACACACACACACACACACTGATAGAGAGAGTGATGAAGCAGATGACACAGCTGTTTAACTCCTCTACTACGACCATCATCAACTTCACTGACACGTTAGCACAGAGTACTGCAGTCAGTACTGCAGTCAGTACTGCAGTCAGTACTGCAGTCAGTACTGCAGTACCACAGAGTACTGTACAGCACCAGGAGAGGATTAGTAAAAACAGTTCTTACCTCTGTGTGGCTTCTGCTCTCACTTCTCAGTTCATCTTTGAAGTGTGTGTGTGTGTCTGTGTGTGTGTGTGTGTGTATTTAACTCACTCTGTGGAAACTGCTGCCATTCCTCTGTGTCAAAGACGAGAATGAGAGAAAATATGAGAGTGTGTGTTTGATCAGGGTACACACACACATGTACGTGAGTGTGTGTACCTTTGAGTGTTACACAGACTATCACAGACGGCATGTCACAGACCGAGGCACACACAGTTAACTCCTCCCAGTGTTTCTTTAGGCCAGGGTACTGCCTCCTAATCTCTCTCTCTCTCTCTCTCTCCCACACACACACACACACACACACAGAGTTTTCAGTGTCTTCTCATAGACATAACTCATTACACAGGCATTTACCCAAACCTTGAATTTTAAAAATATTTGACAAATCCTATTCCTGACCCTGACTCTAATCTGACCGTGCCTTAATCCTCACTCCAAACTCAGTGTCTCCCCCCCAAGGTCAAAGTGTTCCAACAACAATTGTGTCTTTTTTCCCAAAAGGTCCTACAAGTATAGCTCGGCCAGATACGCACACACACACACACACACACACACACACATATCCTCCCATTGTCAAAGTGAACATGTGACTTCAGTGACACAGCAGACCCTCGTCCACTTTCTGCTAAAACTCTGCTTATTGTCATTACAAAGCGAAAGCACAATCAGGACAAACCTATTTCCTCATTCTGCAGCACCAGTTCCACCAGTTTGGTCTGACGCACACACACTTGGAACAGGAGAGCAGATTAGCAGCTGCAGAGCTGAAACACTGTTTCCTTATTTCTCTAGTTTCCTCTGTGCAGTACTCACCTGAGCCACTAGGCTGTTCAGAGCCTGAGGAGTCGGAGGTTTTTAAAGTTAGGAAAATGTATTTTTTAAATCTTTGAGAAGAAAACAAACAAATCACATAGTAGTGATTTAGTGTGTGTGTGTGTGTGTGTGTGTGTGTGTGACACAGCTGTCTGGTGACCTGAACAGTTCAACTCCAGCCACAGATCTGTGTGTGTGTTACAGTCTTATCAGCAGGTCAAACGGGGGTAACTCTCCCCCAGGATGGGGGCAGCGGCGTCAACACCACAGAATCATCCCTGTCATAACAATAACAACACATTTTCCTTTTGTTGTCAGCGAGGAGACACGAGGACCACACGGAGTTGACCCCACGACCTCCTGCCCCACGCCCTGTACAGAACAGGAAGGCCAGCTTCCTGTTTTTCTGTACCATCAGTTCTAAGGAGCAGTGAGGAGAAATGAGAGGCAGTTCCAAGGAGGGACACAGCGAACAGCACTGACGCTGGGGCAGAACCAGGCACACCCCAGGTTCAAAGAACACCTGTCTCCACTGTCACACCTCAACAACGAGACATAAACACACCTGATAAAGGTGGCTGTCAATCATTACGGAATCTGACGGTTGTTGTTGAATACAGGGCACAGTCAGTGAACGTCTGTGTCACACATACCAGTCACTTAGTATCACAATGTCACTGATCAGGTCCCCATTGGAAAGAAGATGGGAGTGTGAATGGTGGTGTGAATGGGAGTTTGAGTCTTTATATAAGTAATCTGTGGTGGATCATCATAACGAGGTCACCTGGTTAACGAGGCTGACACTTGACCTTTTATCATATTAATGTTTAACTGGAGCACAGATGAAGAGTCTCTGAGGTCACGTCAGTGACCGCTGCTGTAAACATTGTGCAACTTGTCAACGCTGTAACACAGTGAAGACTGACATCTAGTGGCAGGTAGGGCACATTACAGAGCACCAAGAAGAGTTCAGTCTTCAGTCGTAAGGTATGGCTAGTTGTACTTTTCTACACAAAATATTTAAAATATGAATATGATGATGTGTTCTTTTTAAAGACCACTCATATGTAGCGGAAATGGCTTTAGTTTCTATATTAAATGTACGTAAAAGATAAGTTTTAAATTAAGTAATTCAATTGTTTTGAGTTTTCAGTTGTGTTCTATTACAATAGCATTCTGTGTTTTGTGAGATTCGTATTTTATATTTTTATTTTGAAAGAAAAACTTGTCATTGACGTCATGAATTACCTATAATCGAGTCAATAAAACGTTAATTGCTAAAGTAAAAATATTCGTCAACAAAATAAATGCCGAGCTTCTACGTTTCAACGTTTCTTTAACGTCTATCTCAATGTAGACGATGAGAATACATTACGAATCTCTGCTTTAAGTAGTTCACCGTAGTTTACAGTAAATAAGAAAAAACGAATAGCCTTGTACTGATTGGTCAGCAGAGGGCAGTGTGTCACCAGTATATTCCACAAACCCTGATTTACACTGTTAAAATCAGTCAGTTATTAAATATAAGTGGACGGACAAACAACACATGGATAAAAAAAAATCAGACGTTTTCATTCTTTTTACCGTAATGAATGTTAATTGACTCATAACGGGATTATACCAGGGTTACACAGTAGAGCAGGAAACGAAGGGCAGACACTTTCACAGTAAAAGTCTGGGCGTCAAGTAACTAATGGATCTTGTTTAATTATATGTAGTAAATCACACTTTTATTTTGAAAGGGAATGCTTCGGCGTGTTTCCGGGGAGTGTGTTGACAGCGCGTGCTGATTGCACCGTGACACAGGCGGGGAGAGGAGAGGAGAGCAGCGCAGCCAGAAGCTGCTGGAGCTCCAATGTGTTCCCTCGGTCTGAGCGTCGTTGTGTTGTTGTGACTCCACCTGCACCTGTTTCTCTGAACAGAACACCGCCGTCACTGGCAGCGCCACCCACAGGAGCGTTACCTGCCTCATAAGAACAGACACAGACAGTGTACAGTAATCCTCTGTTGTCTTCTTACACGGTTTCAAACCTGCACTTTGGCTGCGTGCACCTCCTCAGAGATTCTCCGGGAGCAGAGAGGAGCATCATCTATGTTCGCTGGTTATCACTTGTCCATTAGCCTCCGGGGTTTCCAGGGAGCCGAGTGCTCCGGGAAGATCTCTTATCTTTATGGGATTATTTTCCACTGGATTTCTGTTATTTCCGGAGCCGCTTTGTTTCGGATAAGAAGGATCGGGCATCATGAGTTCCAGCGGTGAGTCTGTTCTCAACATCATAATTCATCCACTTACAATGTGGGGCAGCAGCACAGTGTATGAGAGCAGGGGAAATACTGTTATCGAACAATAGAAACCGGTGCCTTACACCAGTGGTGCTCAAATTGGGGTATGTGTACACCTGGGGTACTCCAAGGCACTCCAGACGGGACATGATATTTTTTCACTTAAACTTAGGCTTGTTTGTTTTTTAAATACAATGGATAAGAATAAAAACATTTTTAATTTTTAAAATATAAATTGATGTTTAAAAGCTATTCAGTTTCATCAGCCCAGAGAGAATGATGACTTCACCTGTCAATCACGGCCGTGGTTACTGTTACTGTATGTCTGCAGCAATGCTGCTGAAAACACAACGGGCCAAAGTGTATATGCTGTATATAACACATATATATACAGTATGTGTGTAAATACTGTGTATAAACACACTTATATACAGCTCAGCATCGATCTTTAACAGTATATTTAACAACATTATATCTTTAGACATGACATTTTTATACATCTTTACTGACACCTTGTGGATTGATTGTTGTCGTTGTCATCGTGTCAATAACAGTCTTGTGGGCCACTCCATTGCTGCAGCAGATTAACAGGGATTAGCAGATTAGCTAATTATATCTGGAGGTTAAAGGAGCATTCCCCTGATGTGCAGGTGACCCTGGTATTTTCAGGATTTTTTCTCCCACCAACAACTACGTTACACTGTTTTCCTAAACTGCTCCCAGACCTGCTCCTCCCTCCTCCTTAAAACCACTCCAAATTAGTTGGAGGAGGAGGAGCTCGTGGTTCAGTCTACTGAGGGGGTAGGGGTGGGGAGGGGGTGGTTCTCCAGTTGTTCACTCTAAACTGTCTGTACTAGATGTGAGTGTGATTGTGAAATCAAGTGTGAATGATAGTTTGGAGGGAGGGGCTGGAGAACTGTGCCCGCCCCAGATGACTGAACGGACCATGAAGTGTGTGACCATGACTGAGTGACCAGTCCAGTGATGCTGAGCTGATCCTGGATCAGCTGATTCAGGGGTTTCCACTCCTGGACTCTCAGGGTCAGTTGTGTGAGGTCATGGTCTGGTTAACGTGGGTTCTGAAGCTGTTTGTTTTTTTGTTGTTTTTTTTACCTGTGTTAGTTCTGACCCAGCAGCACACGCTCTCTGACGTTGTGATGTCAGGTCCCTCCACAGGGGTGAACTGGTATTACTGCATCATTCATAATCCAGCCTGTCGTTGTAGCTCTCTACATAATTCATCCAGTGCTCTTACCCCTCTGGTTCCTGTTTGGGTGGAGGAGGAGGAGGTGCTGGAGGAGGTGAAGGACGAGCGCCTAGTCAGTGTGTCGTGACCTGAGAGCACTCACACACTCTTTGTTAAATAAAACACACACACATCAGCAACATGTCATCCTCGGTTTTATGATTGACATGTGACATGGATCTCTCCTCTCCTCCTCTCTCCTCCTCCTGATCTTCTCTCCTCCTTGTAGTAAAGAACTTCATGTGTGACCATGCTGAGGTCTGTCAGGTCTGTTCTGCTGCAGTAGGTGTGACTGCCTGGAGGCCGTCCTCATACAGAGTAATTACAGACAGCTCTAAGTGTCTGTCTTTATCTTGTGGACTCATCTCTCTCCCTCCCTCTCTCTCTCTCTCTCTCTGGGTCGCTGAGGACACCATTTGATTGGGTGGACCGTACAGAAGTGTCTAAATCAAACTCTGACTCTGAGTCAGATTATGGTCAGTTGTTCAAAGGTTCTGTTGTGGTCATGGTGAAGTTATAACACATGACGCAGAACCTCATGATGGTAAAATGACAGCAGTGACATCAGCGACAGGAAGTGACTCCACGGGATTAGAAGGAGAATCAGAAGAAAGAAAAACATCAACACTGAAGTGAAAAATATAACCAACTTCTCCTCTGGTTCCCTGTCACTGGATGTCTTTCCAGTTTTACTGGTAGAGTCAGCAGCTGTGATGAAATGAGTCAGAGCAGCAGCAGCAGCTTCTGTCTCAGCTGATGGAATGTCCAGACCAAGGCCAGGAACTATTTATCACCGGCCCTGCCCCTCACCACGGTTTGATTACACCAGTAGACAGTGACGGTGCAGGACTACAAGGAAGAACACATGAATATTAATGTGGTCCACAAACCTGTCCACCTGTCCACGATGCACAAACATCTGACAGTCCGCCCTCAGCAGGTTTTTATTTTGATTATTGACAGAGTGAGGCAGAGGCGTTGATCGTGGAGAGTCTGAAAGGGTGAGTCTGAGAGGGTGAGTCTCAGAGGGTTCTCTCCGTGACCTTGGCTTTGGTTGGACTGAGTGATTGTTCTCCCCGTCAGGTTCAGGATGGTTTGTACTGTACGGAACAGCAGCTGACGCAGCCGTCACTTTGATGAATGTTCCTGTCCAAGGTCCTGACGAACGAGGGAGAGAGATAAGGAGGAGGGAGGGGACACGTTTGGATAGATGAGCATTCTGGGAACGTCAGGTCTCAGACCATTGTTCCCTGGGACTGTAGTGCAGTGGTGGAACATTCTGGACTGGATTTTAGTGGACTTTAGTCACAGGTAGAATCAAACAACCATTCACGCTCACATTCACACCAGGGATTGAACTGGTGAATCTTCTTGTTTTACGCCATGTGTTTCGAGTTGTTTCAAGTCTTGTCTCGCGGCCCACTCCTGGCCCGTAATCCACACAGAAAATATAAAGTTCCTTCTGATTCTGTTTCTTCTGCTGTTATCAGTTGAGTTAATGTCACCACGTCATTATTGACACACCGTCGTTACACACAGTCAAAGCCACGACTTGTTCTACCTTGGCTAACAGTTAAGGTTCAGATTGATCTTGTTATGTAATCACCGTATGTTCACTTCCTGTTCAACGGTGCTGCACAGTTGAACATCTCATCGCTAACAATTAGCCGTGCGGTGCAGCAGCGTGCAGCAGAACAGATCCTTTGTTGTGCACAGCAGAACAGACGAGCTTCCATTTTCTGCTCAGTGACTGACTTGTCAACATGAGTTCTTCACTTGAGTTCTTGTTCCTTTGAAAAAGGAGAAAGAACAACATATGGGTAATCTGCTGAATAGGTTCTCACTTCAAATATGTCAGATTAACACGTACAAAGAGGTGTAAGAAAGTATTGATCCAATGAAATATTGCATTATTTTTTTTCACACCATTTTTTAATTGACAGTTAACAGGTAAATACTCAGCATTGGTTTGTTTTTATGTTGCATTTAAACCTTCGACCGCTTCAAAGTTCATTGAACAGAGACTGGATATATTTCAGTATATTGTCGTGCCCAGAGTATTGCAGTATATCACGATACCTGGTATTGTTGTTTCTGTATCGTGATCCCAAGTAACAACGATTTGTACGAGTGAAATGTTGAATTTGAGAAACCAGTTCTTCTGCCATCAGGTTTTCATATTTTTCAATATTTAAAGCTCGTCTCAAACGTACTCAGTTCCCAAACAGTTTGGGCCATGAGAGCGGAGGACGTGGTACTGTACTCCGCCTCGGGTCCGTTGTTGGCCCACATTCAGAAGGTCGGAAACATACAGTGTAAAGTGACGTGAGTTTTTTTCACTGGCTGTCGGCACAGATTTGCACGTACTGGAATAATTTTGTAATGTTTTCTGGTTCACACCTGACGGTCTCCTCAGACGTCCTTCCCTCAGCTGCTCTAACCTTTGTGTTCAAACACTACGCTGCAGCAGGGAGTGTGCTGATTGGCCAGGATACTTATCAGGGAAGCCAGTGTGTCCCAGTGGTGCCACCAGCATTGTAGTTAAAACAATGAACCAATACAGAGCACAGAGCGGGAGACTGGGGGAGGAAAGCCGTCAAGCATATTTTCCACCGCCCACCGTTTTATTGTGTGTGTGGAAGTAAATAGTTCCAGTTGTGTAGACTCTGTGTCTGAAGATTCCTCTGGTCCCACTGTGGTTGAACGCCACCTTAAAACATCGGACAGTAAGTGAAAGGGTCATGGGTTCAAGTCCTGGTTCTGCCCAAAAAAAACCCTAAACTGACCACAGGTGTGACTGTGTCTGTCGCAGGTTTGAATCCTCCAGCCACCATGTTCCACAGTAACAACTGACAGTTGACCGTGCCTCTGTCTTGTCTCCTCACCAAGGCTCGTCCACCACTGTCCGGAGCACTGGACCAATCCGATGTCAAAGGTGTGGGGACGTGTGTAAAGGAGAAGTCGTACGAGTCCAAGAAACGCACTTCCACGTCAAGTGTTTCACCTGCACCGGTAAGAAAAAGACAGACAGGTGTGTGTGTGGGGGGGGGGCAGTGTTTTACAAGAGACCCAGACTCAGAGCAGCTGGTTCTGGGCTCTGACCCCACAGTAGATATGCTGGTGACACGTCCACACAGGTAGCAGAGTACAGTGTTCCAGAACATATGAGATTTATTTTTCAGATGTAAATTCTAACACATGTCAAACCTCAGTTGCTCCCAGTACACACACACACACACACACACGTACTCTCATATGAGTGTGTTCTGGTTTACTTTCATGCTCATTCTTTTAGTTGTGATGGGTTGCTATGGTAACGGCATAAAGGGACACCCTGGCCGTGGTTGGTTGGTTGGGTATTCCAAGCATCTCTGTGGTGCTGTCAACCAATAGGAGAGCCACAATCTGTACCCTGGAGAGGAGAGGGGGGGGGGCAGATCATAACTTGACTGTAATATCAGTCTGACTTTCTCCTTCATCTCCTCTGCCTCAGCAGCTGTACAGCTATAACACCACCGAGGATTTACCCCAACAGGGGGCAGTGAAGGGGCAGTGATGTCAGCTGTCAGAGGCCACGTATGTGTTAGTGGTTTAAGAACACGATACACCGATATATTGTAATATTCTGTTTGATATTGAACAGCAGTCTGAGACTCACACACACACTCACACACACACAGGTGTTGGAACGTGGTTTCCCTCCTGAAGCCACTGTTCCTGTCACTCCTCCGTGGTGCAGCAGTCAGAGGAAGAACAGACGACTCTTCATCGCTGCAGGACAGTCGTTCAGACAGAAAAAGAACAGGAACATCTCGATGAATCGGTTCCAAACACAGATCTGTGCGGTGTTGTGTTACAGGCAGACAGACTGACCTAATAACATAGTGACCACATTATCCTGCCTCTGAAGCACATTTGGTACCGATCAATCCCAGCAGAAGCAGGAACGTCTGTCAGTGGTACCAGTTAGCAGTACGTTTATTCATACTCTAGTGGAGAATTAGAGGAAATACACGCACATCAAGTCTCCAGTGTCTCCCCTGATTTGAACTTTGTTAAGACCAGGTTAGTAAAAGGACTGTGATCAGACTGATGAACAGGTGAATCTGAAGGTGTGAGAAGATATTGATACACTGAGAGATCGGGATATTTGGTTTCACGACATCGTATCGACGTATCGACGTCCTGCAGCACTGTAGGGTTTTTCTATCAACAATTACCGCGGCCAGATTCTTGACAGTACAGCTGATAATACAGCCTGTGTCCCCTCATGAGAAGTCAAGTGACCACAGACACTTCCTGTGAGGACAGACAGCGTCTCCTCCGTTGTCCTTTTGTGTGGTTGCAGCATCGTGTCTCTTCTTCTTCGTCACTCACTCCGTCCTCCCTGTGGACGCCATTAGCCCCATTACTCAACCTCAGTGTTAATAACATAAAACCACAGTGCACCCCCACTGCTCCCTGAAGGAAGGGGGGGTGAGGTTGGGGGGTGGGGGGTAAGGTAAAGACAAAGTGAAGAAGGAGACAAATAGTGTCCTCAATGAATAGAAGACAGACGGAGGGAAAAGAACAAGGTTAGAAGGAGAAACAGAAAGAAAGGCAAACCACAGAAATAGGTGGGGGTTAGGGGGGGGGTTACCGAGAAGGGGAGCTTCCTGTATCTATGGCAACGCCTGGTACGCTGGTCCAATCGCCACACCAGTGCCTGGTTGCTGGGGAGAGATTCCCGGCAGAGAGAGTGAGAGAAAGAAAGAGAGAGAGAGGGAGACAGGGAAGGGAGATGGAGATGGAGCGGGGGGGTGAGAGTGGGTGGGGGTGATGGGGGGTGATGGTGTAACATCAACGAGATTATTTCCCGACCGATGTCTGTGTGTAACGTCACCAAACTGAGGGAAGATGACACTGATGCTGTGACAGTGATGTTTAGGTGAATGATGATGACGATGATGATGATGATGATGATGATGAAGACGAGGAGTCACCTGGAGAGAAGAATGTTCTAGTTGGGCTGAAGTGGAGTTTCAGAAACGCACTAATAGAAGGTTAGAACAGGTCGGGGACGTCAGGGTTTTTTCCGGCCCACTTTGAGATGGAAATGTAATGGTGTCTCTTGGCTGGGGATAAATACCCAAGCCAGCAAGACCCCCAGTGGGGGTGTAATGAGTGTTGGTCTAACGACCACAGCTGCAGGCTGCTAATCACTGGAATTATCATCTGGACGTTAGCTTCCTGCTTCACCTCGTCTACTGGAGAGTTCTTGTTTGTTTCAGCCCAGAGAAATAAATGATTCAAAACAAAACTGTTACTAACTACACAACAAGTAGCTGTTGTTCAAATCCCCAAAGGCCAGTGGGGGGGGGGGGGGGGGGGGGGGCAGTCATGGGACCGTCGTTGGCCGGTGGTTTGGACACTACATCTTTCAGTCCTGCCTGTCTCTGTCTCTGGGGCGACTGATGGAGGGGTACGTCTCCTATGGCAACAGTGACAAAGGGGGCGTGTCTTTTGGAATACCCACAGCCAATCATCTGTGTGATCAGACACTACAGGTAAAAGAACCAGGCAGCTCAGTCACATGGACACATGCTAATACATAGCATTATGCTAATTAAAGTCATTACAGTCAAGTGGCCGTCAGTTTGGTCGACGACTGCGACGCAGCGCTTTTGACTAGAGAGAAAACTTAAAAAAAAAAGATTGTGTTAATTTTATTTCACCGTGACTTTCACTGCTGTGGTTGTTTCTGTTGAATCCACTCTGTCCACGGTTGATACTTTTTAAAGACTTTAGCAGAAATGGAAACGTTGACTTTTTCACTGCTTCTTTCCATGAAGGCATCATGTAGCCTGTAATTTGGGTTTTCTGGTCAGACCTTCAGATGGAGCTTCAGGCTGCAGCGGGGTCACTGTTGAGGAGCAGTGGAGCCCCGTCCAAGCAGCTCTGGAAATGTGGTCGGCCCGTGCACGAGCGTCCGGCCGTGCCACGGAGTCACACACTCGCCACATTTTTAAAAACAGCCTGTTATTATCACCACCCGCCCCCCCCACCCTCTCAGATTCCTGTCTTCTGACCTGTCACAACTACACATCTCGCCGTGCACACACACACACTCTCTCTCTCTCTCGTTTTATCATCCCGTCCTCACAGACACACACGCTGCCAACTCTCCGTCCTCCTGTGGGAGCTGAGAGTTCGTTTTTAACTCAACGTCCGTTCATCTTTTATTATGTCATTAAGTCAATATGGCGTTCTACTGAAGAGCTGCAGATTAAACGGCTCCTTCAAAGGGTCTGTGTGTGTGTGTGTGTGTGTGTGTGTGTGTGTACCCCCCCCCTCCAGCCGATGATGTCACCATGCTGTGAAAACCACTGTCTTAAAGTGTAACTTTAGTTTAACTATGACAACACTTCAGGTTTGGAAATGTTGAAAACCAACGTGAGTGTGTCACCTGCTCGTTGTTGAAGGAGAAATCTTCAGATGTAGTCGTTTGGTCAGTCGTTTGGTCAGTCGTTTGGTCAGTCTAATGTAACGGCGCGGCCTTACTTTTGATGGTTCCAGATATTTGAAAGTTTTCAAAGTCACTTAGTCTCAAAAAGAGCAGCCTTCGTCCAGGATGATGTGTCTTCTCCACGGTAACCATGGAGACCAGAAGACAACAATCAGGGAGCATCAACCACACTGGCTACTGATCCGTGAAAGTGCCTTTTAGCTTCACTGTGACACTGTTACACAGCAGCGTCTGCTTAAGATACTGTTCCCCACACACACACACACACACACACACGGGTGTGTGACGAGTGTGTAGTCGGTGCAGGTGACAGCGCCCCCTGGTTTATTGTCTTTATTATTTAGAACAAAATGAATTTTCCACTGATTATGTCGTTATATTCTCATCAGAAGAAATTGGTTCATACTGTGGGGAGAACAACAACAACCCCCCCACCACCACCATTAGCCCCCCCCCCCGCAGCCCTACACTCATATATAAACTCATACTCCCCTTCCCCAAGCAGCTGCAGATACACACACAGTACCAGTACACACAGTACACACAGTACACACAGTACACACAGTACACCCTGAGGTCAGCTGATACGCAGTAAACAGTAATAAAAGTACATGTTGTTTCTCCCAGTGAACAGAATCTCACCCCAATAAAACACCCCATGATTCTGGAGGTTTGGCTGTGATGTCTGTGATGTCTGATTGGGGGGGGGCGCTGCTGTACCACACACATTCTTTTATGTTTGTTTAGACTGGAGGTGATCGGGGGGGGGGTCGTTTTATACTCTTTAACATCAACAGGACAGACTGAGGGTACTTCCTACTCCGACCTCTGACCTCTGACCTCACTTCCCCTGTTTTCTCCACAGTGTGTAACTGTGTTCTAGCCCATTCTGGCTTCTTCCAGAAGAAAGGCGAGTACATCTGCACCGCCGACTACCAGCGTCTGTACGGAACGCGCTGCGACCGCTGCGAAAGCTTCATCACAGGAGAGGTTGTCTCGGCCCTGGGACGGGCGTACCACCCCAAGTGTTTTGTCTGCAGTGTTTGCAGGTATACGTACTTAATTCACACACATACAGTGGACAAGGTTTTTTAATCAAAGCTGCCCCCCCCCATCTCCCTCCTACCCCTCCCCCTCCTCTTCAGTAAACCCTTCCCGATTGGAGACAGAGTGACGTTCAGTGGAAAGGACTGCGTCTGTCAGCAGTGTTCACAGAAAATCGTCAAGTCAAAAGAACCCATCAAGATCCACGGACCAAGTAGTAAGTCTGTAGTAAGGCACTGTGAGGGGGGTGGGGGGGTGGTGGACCCTGGTCAGGGTCTTTGACCCCAGCTCTGACCTTTTCTTCCAGACTGTGCTGGCTGTGGAGCGGACATCAAACAGGGTCAGTCTCTGCTGGCGCTGGAGAAGCAGTGGCACGTGAGCTGCTTCAGATGTCGGACCTGCAGCATGGTCCTCACTGGAGAGTACATCAGCAAGTGAGTTCATGTTTGCTTCAGCGCCCTCTGTCTGCTGACCGTGTTACTGCAGCTTCATCTATGTTCTTGACATTTTCAGAGACGGCGTGCCGTACTGCGAGGCAGATTACCACGCCCAGTACGGGGTGAAATGTGAGACCTGTGGCAGATACATCAGTGGACGGGTTCTGGAGGTGAGAGCGGGGAATTGAACAGTCAGCTTTAATCTCCATCTGTAGTAGTTTAGGTTTGTGTATCACAGTATGGTATGGTATCATATTTATACCTTATATTATCTTACAATATTGTATCGTATATTCGTAAAATTCTTAAAAAAAACTTTCTTCTCAGACATCTCAGTAACAGTAAAACATCAGAACCTGTTCTGTGTTTGACCGACTGTGAGGCAATGACTGAGGTTTAGAGGTTTCTGAGACAACTGTTGTAGATTCTTCTAGAACAATCCTGTTTCCTCCTAGTTTCTGCAGAGGGCAGCGTTTATATTTAAATAAAACTGGGCTCAAAATGAGCCTCGTCACAGACCAGTGTCCAGTGATGGTCAGGAGGACGGAGACGGAGAATCAGACACACACACACAAAGCCCAGGATGTGAGAGGACGATACAGTACAGATGCTGATGAGATGTTGTTGGACAAGTCTCTGAAGGAGGTCTCCTGTCAACTGACTCCTGGGGAATGGGAGCAGGAAAACTGTGCCAGACAGAGGGGGGGAGTGGGGGGAGAGAATGAAAAAGACACACACATACAAATATAATATGCTTTGTTTCTGACTGTCAGCCTCTCTGGTCTATCTATAGACACATCAGTGTTTATGTCTCTATCTCTCTCTCTCTCTCTCTCTCTCAGACGAGCCCACACAGTCGACTCCTGACATACCAGTTTAATCCGTTCTACAACAGAACTCGTATCTTTATTGCATTTTCCCCATTAAAATAGATAGATATAGATATAAACAAATATATTGGTCATAAAGTGTCAGTGGTCAGTGCAGCTGCTGATTGGCTGATGTTGGATGTTGTGAATAAATAGTTTGGTGTGAAAAGGCAGGGGTTAGCGATGTTAGCTTGCTCCAGCTTTAGCCTAATACATGGTGTATAACGTACAAAACTTCCGACTGTCCCTTTAATGTCCTCAGCTGCTCTGTCGTCCAGACCGTTCCTGCTCTGTTTCTCCACAGTCTCCAGGACTGGATGTAACTTTAATGAATAGTTTTAGTGAAACAGTGACGGAGAGGAAGCTTTAAATCTCTCTCTTTACTTTGTCTTTGTTTCCTGTGTGCAGCAGTAAATTTAGCAGCTTGTTAATGTCAGTGGGGAGAATGGAGCCCTTATTAGAAATGGAAACAGCATCTGCTGGGCTGCTACCTCGTGACCTCAGCGGATAAACACGCTGCTTCTGGGAAGGCAGCGGGAAAGGTGTTGCGTCCTCTTCGACTCTTCCTCTCGGAGAAACCTGAGACTGCTGCAGAGGAAGGAGGGATTTCAGACACCATTAAGAACTGTACTGTTGTCACTGAGACAGGAAGTCAGAGTCACATGTGAACAGAGACTCCACTCTCAGACGTCCTTGACATGGACCACATGTCAGCCGTCCTTCTATAAATAGAGCGTCTGTGGTGGTGTATCAGGAGGAGGACAGACCTGGACCACGTGTCAGTCGTCACCCACGACAACAACGTCTCCGGTCTCTGGTCTCTGGTCCTCAGGGTGGTAACGCTGCGTCGTTTCCCACGCCCGTGTCAGACGTCTCCTTGTCTCTGGTGTTGCTCCCTCAGGGTCGCTCTGTCACATGATTCAACCGCACAAACACACGTTTGTACAGAGACGTCCGTGTTCATCATATGACATGATACCCTACATGGGACTCTGGGGGGACAGGGGGGGCAGTAACCTGGAGGTAACTGTCTCCATGTGATGCTGTGTCAGACAGTGCTGCTGTTACAGTAGGACATTATAGCAGGAGGGATGAGGATGATGGTGATGATGATGATGAGGATGATGGTGATGATGATGATGTACTGTCAGGTTTCACACAGTAGGAAGACGGTTTAAAAAATTGTGAAAATAATATTCTCTCCTTCTCTCCCCATCATCTTCCTCTCCTCTCCTTCCTTCCTCTCCTCTGTCTCCTCTCAGGCAGGAGGTAAACACTACCACCCGACTTGTGCTCGGTGTACCCGCTGTAACTTGATGTTCAGAGAGGGGGAGGAAATGTACTTGACAGGTAAACCAGTCCTGTCTCACCCTCACAGCCGTGGCTGTTGTCTGTACATGAGTGAACGGTCTGTGGCTCTGTCTTCTAGGGTGTGAGGTGTGGCACCCGTTATGCAAACAGGCGGCGAGAGCAGAGAGAAGACTGAAGGTGAGCTTTGATTCAGACGATGGACAGAAGTGAAAAAACAAAACTAAACCTTCCTTTGTTCCAGTCTGACTCTCAGCTTCTCTGTCTCGTAGCACAGACGCCTGTCAGAAACCTCCATCTCTCCCCCAGGATCCTCAGTGGGCTCCCCCAGCAGGGTTATATGTGTAAGTGATCCGGGGGTGTGCAGTTAGAAGACTCCCTCTCTGGACCTGTCCCCGTGTCTGTGTCCTCTCTGCTCTGTTCACACCACAACATTCACCATGTGAACCATGTGAATGTTGTGGTGTGAAACCAGAATCAGATCAGAATCAGTCAATTTATTCTCAAACTAAATCAAATGTCAGAGTCTCTCTGTGGGTCTCCACTGTGGACCAGAAGGTAAAAAGTGGCAGTATATTTCGCCCCCTTGTGGAACACTAAGGTAATGCTGTCATGTCATTTGTCACACTGAAAGTTAATACATTTTTAAGAGTTTTCTTGCGAGGTTTAAAATATTACAACATGTGAAATCATATAATAGAATAAAAAAAACACAATTTTATCAAAATACAAATAGTTTCTTTTTAAGGTGTGAACCATTTACTTAGCAACAACACTGAGCAGATATGTGAGTTATTCTAGTCAGTCTTTACAATTTTGTTTCTCTCACTCAGTCACTGACCACAAACTAAAACTGAAGAATCAAGAAGTTCCAACTCATCCCCACAGTCCAGGGAAAAAAATGACTGATTTAAAAAAAAAAAAAACTTTTATTATATTTTAAACATCGTCTGAGGGATTTGGCTGAAATTGTGCATCTTTAACTGGACTTTCCCTGGTGGTATGATGTTGTCATTACATGTATATCCATGTGTCCTGCTGCCGTAGTGCTGGTGTGTGTGTGTGTGCGTGTGCTCTCTGCTCATAATCAATGACCTTTCAGTTTGAGGTGATGGATGAGGCAGAATGGCAGTGTAAGCTGCTGCTCCGTGTCCACACATGCTGAGCTGCTGAAGGTCAACACCTAACGCTGCTGTCAGCTCCTGTGGAGGACATGTGTAACGCTGATGAGCACACACACACACACACACACACACACGTGCATGTGCAGATGCTTCCTCAGCTCTTTTCACTGCATGTCCAGCTCAGTGCCACTGCTGGAGTTTTCAGTCTGCATGGTCCACGTGGTTGATGTTGGTCTTGTTCCTTCTGTCCCTGTCTGTGGTGTGGCTGGATGTCCATGTGTATTATATGTATGTATGTGTGTGTGTGTGTGTCCTCTCTCCAGGCCAGAGTGGAGAATGACATCCTAGGTTATAAGGACCTAGCTGCCCTGCCAAAGGTCAAGGCCATATATGAGGTGCAGCAGCCGGACCTCAGGTCCTCGTCCTCCTCCTCCTCATACCAGCCCTACCACAGATACACCTCTGCTGACAGGCTAGACAGTTACAGCTACAGGGAGGTACTGCTGCCACACACTGTCCCAGGGCAGACACCACGTACAAAACCCAAACTCACCTAATCGGTCAGACCAGTTCACTACTCCTCCACTAGGGGGCAGCAGATGGCTGTATAACCAAAAAGAAAAGAGCATCAGCCGTTGTAGATCTTGATGTTTGTCTTTCTTTCATATTTCATGACGTGTACTTTTTGTCTGGTTGTGTACTGTAGGTTTGTTTAAATATATTTTATATAAACACCAACATCCTCCAGCAGCAGGGGTCGCCGTCGTCTGTATTTGGTCTCAGTCTGGGTTTGGACCACAGTATGTGGGGGTGTGTTGTTGTCCACCGTTTGATGCATCGACTGATATTCATTTTCTGCTACAACAAAAATCACTTCTTTTTTTTTCTCCTCATTTTCTCTCCAGTCTCTTGGAACGCTGTCTCCATATTCTCAGGTAAATGTTCCTCCTCCAATGGAAGTAGAACTTTTAGTAGTACCAGCTCAGAGGAGTCAGATTAACCCCACCCCCCCGTCTGCTCCTCAGGACTACGACAGCGTGGATTTCAAACAGAGGCGGTGCTCCAGTCCAGGTTTTATAGACTCACCCACGTACAGTCGTCAAAGCATGTCACCCATCATGCCCCGCTCTCCACAGCACTACGTCTACCCCGGTGAGTCGTTCACTCTGGAGACTCTTCACCTACAACAGGCGTCAGTGTGAAATACAAACATGTATTAAAACTGCAGTATCAGAGTACTGTACTGTATTAGTGACACACTTCACTGACGACTGAACTCTGTCGCTCAGATGGTTTTCTTCGTCTTTCCTCTTACACACACTCAATGACTCTTCCACACCTACTACAGGACACGTTGGTCATTACACACCCGTGACGTCACATGTTCCTTCAGTTTAACTATGAAGTTCTGATCTTTTCATCTGCATGTTTCTTCTTTAATGCCCAAATGTCCTCTGCTGTGATTGGCTGTGGCTGGCTGCAGGCTCTGAGAGTGGCAGGAGCTCACCCTATTACAGCCAAGAAGGGCGCTGCAGCACCCCCACCACTAACCCACCCCCTAAACATTTTCATGTACCAGGTAGGACTGCTCTAACATTCCCATCCCCACATTCATGAACAGCATTAGACGTACTGATTGGATTAGCCGTTAGCTGCTTATGCTAATGATTGACTCATCACTGCGGCATTTGTGTGAAGGAGTGATGAGTTCTCTGATGAAAACAGTGGTTCTCCAACAGTGATTTTCCAACTGTGGTTCTCAAACTGTGGTTCTCCAACAGTAATTCATCAATAGATAAAGAAGAGGATTCATATGATTATTGGACTGTCTGTACAACGAGTCGATTCCGTTCTGAAACCACACACACAGACGCTCAGTGAGGCTGGGTCACTTCTACCCACTGCTCTCTGCAGGGCAGATTGGAAGGGGCAGTAATACCCCTCTCCATTCTGATTCCCATTTCAACCACTACAGGGAGCGTCAGTCCCACCAGTGGTACACATGCCATAGTTTGAGAACCACCATTCAAGCATTGGCTTCCCATGCACTGCCTTTTTACCCTGTGTCACCCGCCTGTACAGCCACCCCTGCTCCCCCTAACACCTGTTCGACCCCCCCCCCCCTCCAGACTCACACCGCCTCCACGTGTCACCTGTCCATCTCCTCTTTGTCTCCTCAGCCACAGGAGAACCAAACATCTACAGGAAGCCTCCCATCTATAAGAGACCTGGTACAGTGCAGTTAGCCCCGCCTTAGCCTGCCTGTCCTCTGTCACTTATTCATGCTGTGTTTGGTTCCTCAAAGTAGCTGATGTGACTCACGGACCACTGC